GGTTATTACTTAGCAATAAGAAGAATATGTTAAAAAAAATAAACTTGTAAATGTTCAACGACAGAAATATATAATTTAAAAATCAATTTAGCCCTGGTTAAATGAATGAAGAATACAATAACCAAAAGTTTAAATCAAGAAAACTACAGACAAATTGTAAAATTTAAAAACAGAGAATGGGTTCGAGAAAAGAAAAACACTAGGACTTTAACGCTTTTAAACTCATCTATCTAGTTTATTTCATTTTGCCATTAGTTTATGAGGTTGTATTCTTTTCAACAACTATATATATATATTAGTAGTGCGTATAACGTAGAAACTATAAACTGTATCGACATTTACGAACCGCGATAAAAACTCAGTTCAAACAACGAAGTCTTTTTTATCACATACATTATTTATTTGTATTCAAGTGACAAAAAATGAAAAGAAATCATCAAGCTGTTTGTTGTTTGATTTGTTTTCTGAAGCAACCAATTATCCGAAGGTTTTACACCTATTATTGGTTTAAATAAAACTTAAAAAAACAACTTACAAATCAGATGTATGTAAAATAGCAAAACAATGTTAACGGGTTAAAATGACTGAGATAGGATACGGTTAGATGCAATTCAAGTTTTATTTCTTTCAATGTTCGATTGGATACCATAAATAAACAAATAATACTTATCTGTTGTGTTCCATGTAAAAAAACATAAGAAGAATGGATATCTATACATATATGTGCATTGACATTCAATAACAGTACAACTATTCATACCTCAGTGTAATTAAATGAGGAAAATGGCATGAGAAAATAAACAAAACAACAACCGTGAATCATAACTACAAAAGGAACCTAATAAAAATATTTACGATCTACTAACAAAAAAATATGATGATTATTTGTTAACCAAAGCTGATCAATCAGTCATTCAGTCAGTAACGACGTAGAACTACGTACGTACGTACATCAGTTGGCCATACCACATTAGCACAGAGATGCAGTTGTCGACTCAAATTCCGTACTGGTAGAGGTAAAAAGAGTATAAGCAGTAATAGGGAACATTAAGGCTTGAAGATGTTATTCAAGGAGTATAATCCAGTGAAAAAAATCTGGAAAGAAAATAAGGGACAAGAAGAATTCAGAAGATTAGAATTTGGGAGAACACAAAGATTGGATGCACATGCGCCATTGCAAACGATTTTGAGCCATGTCATTCAGGGTCTCTAACCATCGGGTGCTATCATCTCGCGATCCCCAACCAGGTAATTTACACCTACCAACGTGGCTCAATTCACTTGTCAGTGACTTCATGGACTTGTGCCATGTTTTGGACTGGCCGCCCCCTAGCTTTCTTCCAACCTACTCCTATACCAGTGAACATCGCTCGTCGAGTCAGTCGGTACTTGGGCATACGTAACACGTGTCCCAGCCATCTCAACTGATGAAGTTTCACTACGTCATCAATTGATTTGCCATCCTTACCTAGTACCCGATCCCTAACAACTGCGTTACTTACTCGATGGTCCCAGGATATACGAGCAATGTTTCGAAGACACCTATGATCAAATACTAGTAACCTACGGATATCCTCTACTCTTACCGGCCATGTTTCACTGCCATGAAGTAGGACGGAACGAACTGCTGCGCAGTAAACACGTCCTTTGGTTGATAGACGGATATCTCGCCTACGACATAAATGATGCAAGTTGGCAAAAGCTAGTCGAGCCTTCTGTATCCGTGCTGCGATTTCGTCACACACCAGACCACAAGGGCTGATGAGAACCCCAAGATAAGTGAAGCGGTCGACACACTCAACTACTTCACTCCCTATCACTAGTTCGGGTGTCGATGTAACCCAATCCTGAAGCAACATTTTGCATTTCGAGGGAGAGAATCGCATCCCGAACATGCTTGCATTGTTGCTTAGAGTGGTCAGAAGACTGCATTTTGTCAGCGTCTTCAACAAATAGAACTATGTCATCAGCATATTCTAAGACAACAAGTGAATCACAAGGTAGGAGTTCAACCGCTAGAAATTTAGATGAGGAAAGTCATCCCTAAAAGCACGTCTACGATAAAGTTAAACTAGAATGGAGAGAGTGAACAGCCCTGACGAACACCACTTGTGGTAATCAATTCTGATGACAGTTCGCCATAAGCTCTCACTCGACCTGTTGTGTTCGAGTACAGAGCCCTTACAAGGTTAATGTACTTCTTTGGTACTCCTTTCAGTGACAAACACTGCCATAGAACCTCACGATCAACAGAGTCGAATGCCGCCTTAAGGTCGAGAAATACTACCATTGTGGGGCGTCTGAATGTGAGTCTATGTCCTAGGACCTGACGTAGTGTGAATATCTGGTCTATACAACCACGCCCAGGTCGAAAACCAGCCTGGTTTTCTCTAGTCTACTCTTCACGAGCTTTAGTTAGGCGTCGAAGTATTGTTGAAGCTAATATTTTAGACACAATATTAGTCAAACTGATTCCTCTGTGATTGTCACAAGAGGACTTTTGTCCTTTCTTATAGACTGGCACAATCAGTAATTGAGACCAGTCAGATGGGATTACGTCCAGTTCCCAAATTCTACCTAAGACCTCGGTTAATCTCATTGCTAATACTGGACCACCATCCTTAAAAATCTCAGGAGTAAACCTGTCAGGGCCTGCTGCTCTCCCTCGTTTCAGATTTCCTATAGCTTTTTCAACTTCGTAAAGGGACGGAGGACTTACATTAACTTGCCATTCAGGTTGACTAGAGATCGTGGGAAACCGAAGTGTGGCTGGAGGCCAGTTGAACTGATCCCTAAAGTGTTCTGCCCATCGATCCAATCACCTGGATTGAGAATGAATAATATGTCCATATTTCTCTGAGATTGTTTCGCTAACGGTCGGGTTCCTAATTCCGGTTTCCTTAACGAGTCTGAACAATTGTCTGCTATTACCTATTGCCGCTGCCTTTTCCATCTCTCTTGCTTTCGCTACCCACCACTGTTCGCGATCATTGCGTAGACTTCTTGTCAGCTTGCGCTTAAGCTGACTCCGCTCTTCATTATCTTCAGAGCCAGGTGGAATGAGTATCACGTGATTTATCTACCAATCCGAATACGACTTATACGAATCTTCACACTAGGCCAACCAATGACGTTCAACCGGTGTGGGCAGTTTAGCGTCCTTATTGGTCCTATGCCCTACGAGCCCTTCCACTTGAGTCCAGAACAAAATACCAGCTTCCGAATCAGAGCAGATCAGACCAGATCGTTTATTTCAGACATACTTGGTTTATATATCAATCAGACAGACCGCAACGTACCATAAAATAGGAAATAATATTTGTACACAAATAAGCCCAAAAAGTGGCCGTGAACGAAGGGGACAGTGAATAATAGACTGAGCACAGATTAAGAACCGTAAATCGTATAATAATAAATTATAGGTCAAAATAAAGCTTATCATAAAAGGAATATAAATATACATAGTGTAATTGTTGAGTAGTTATACAATAAGAATATTTATAGAATATTAGTCCATTAGTAGTCCTTGGAATTTACCTGTGGTTTAATCTCCACTCGGTTATAACAGATGGGATGAGTTCTCGAGCATCTATCAGTGCCATAGATGCAGCTGAGATCCAGTGGTTCTCCCTAACCTTTTGGTTTACCATACTAGCAGATACCACTGCTGTTTTCATAGCTTTTCGGATATCATTCCATGCTGCATCGGGGTGGGCATTACTTACATGGCTGCCTAACAGTTTTCCTAGTTGTTCCTGAAATATACTCTTAGCTTGACTATCATTAGGTAGGACCCTAAGAGGTTTCCTTGCAGCGTCTTTCCAACGTCCAGTAAGACGCAAGCAAATACGCGCTCGCACTAGAGCATGATCTGCATCTAAGCATGTGCTCCAGAATGAGCGACAGTCTTCTATCGAGCCCCTCCATCGGTGGCTGATAGCGATGTGATCTATTCGGGTCCAACGTTGGGACGAATTAGGGGGTCGCCATGTCAAAAGATGCTTTTCCTTATGCTTAAAGTTAGTGTTTGCAAGAAACAGGAGGTTATCTGAGCATAGCTGTAACAGACGGTCGCCATTATCTGTTCTTTGAGTCACGACACCATAATATCCACGCAGGTGTCTTTCCCTTTTGCTTAGTTAACCTACTTGAGCATTAAAGTCATCAGCCACTATTACTTAATAAGAGCGCCTAGCTTTTCGGAGGTCGGAAATCTTCCTGTAAAACTCATCTCCTACATCATCTGAGCTGCAGTCAGTAAGAGAATAGGCAGAGACAACGAATAGGCAACGACGAGTGTCCCTATCTTTCCGAGTCCTTACTGTTCCGTTTAGTCGGACAGCGCACAAACGACTATCTACTGGGATCCAGTCTAACAGAGCTAGTTCTGCCCTAGGACTCAATGCTATACCTACATCAGCGAGGCCACGAGAATCAGCATTAGAGCTTCCAGATACACGAAGCGTAAATCGAGTCGGTTCTTTATTTTGACATGGTGAGATCAAATGAATGACGCTACTCGGATCCTGTATGCGCGTTTCGGAGACGCAGCACACATCGATGGCACGAGATTCTAAAGTACCAACTGAGGAAGCCTGTTGTCCCATTTGGCACAGTGTTCAGACGTTAAAAGCTCCTACGTGTAGTTTAGAGAGTGGTTTCAGTAGGTCAGGAATAACGTTCCGCGTACTCGAATCGTTTGCACTAGCGGTGAGAGGTGATAAAGGGACGTGAGGAGGGTTAGTCGTGGAGATAAGACAGGTATTAGGAGGTAGTAGGAAGGAGTTGAGCGTGACCAAACTTTGTCTCATGCGCTGTTACGAGTATGTGGGCTGATATCACTTCCCGGCTGCCCACACCGTGGAAGGGTATTTCTTGAGGAACCTGGAAAGGAAGTCGGATTAGTGTTGGTCTTAACGACCTGAGAGCGTGACCGCAGAGCCCAAGAGATAACTGTTTGAGGCCGGTCGCGCACGACCTTTTCGTGGAAGGCTTTTAACGTGTTAGCTCCGTTCTTCAAAGGGCCTTACCGCCGGAGACGGAAAACCGCGAGGTAAGGTGAGGTGTGACATTTTTAGGGTCGACCTTTTCTAACCCCACCCCTCCTTGTGGGAAGACAGCATCGCTGCAGATGCTGGTCGTAGGAGGAAAACACCTTACTGCTGTCACAGCCCTCTACAGTCAGCAGTACGACTTCGCCCTCAGACCTTCAGTTGCTGCTTTTAGTCTTAACGTTCTCCAATCGACCTGCATGGCATGATAGAACCTACAGGAACATATGTTCCAGCCAATATAGCTCGGTTGGGTCAATACGATAGGCAAGCCCGACCACCATGTCAAGGTAGCAGCTACGGTCGGGAAGCTGATCAATATACCGAAACAAATTCAAAGGAAAGACAATGACCGATACATCTAGCTTACACTAAACAGATCAAAAGCTTTCTTTAGAAATAAAGAAAATACAATCAGTATCAAAAACATTTGAATTATTGAAAAAAACAAAAATAATACCTGACAAATTAGTCAAATGTTCAAACAAGCTTGTGATCTCGTTGTTTACTGAAAAAGAGAACTTCATGAAAGTATGGTTAACAAGAAACGGTGCAAAGAAATCGTCCAGGCAAACATCCGAGTAAAAATTAGAACAAGTTATGAATACAAATCGGATGAATAAAGTACATAAGGAAGTGTAGTCTTTCACATACAATTCAATGATAACTACAAAATAAAAATTACAATAAGTAAAGCGTTAAAAAATCGAAAATATCCATATTTCTGTATAAATAATACAAATAAATGAGTTCAGGTGAAGAAAAAACGAAGCACAGAATATACTCACAGATAAAACGACATGAAAGGATAAGACTACGAAAAATTTGATTGTTTTGGCTTCTTTTCAAAATATTTAAAATCCTAATAAAAGAAAAATTTAAAATGTAGCAATCAGTTAAATCTATATTTAAAGAAATTTTTATGAGCATATATTAAAACCTGTGCATAAATACCGTCTCGCAGCGAACACAATATAATATCAAAGTCAAAATAGAACGTCTACTATTAATATAACAAGTTAGCTCAGATGGTAACGGGGTAATGTAAATATATATAGGGAGAGAAAGTTCAAACGATAAACAAATAAATTATAAGTAGCAAAATAACCAATACAAAACTTAATGTAACTCAGCACTTAAATAACTGTCGTGTATTTGCTTATAAGTAAACTAGACATAAAGCCAAGTCGAGCAAACTGAAGCGAACAGAGTTAGGTCTGAATCTAAGAAACAATGATAAATATGCTACTGATTGTGATGTAAGTATAAGTCAGATACGGACTAGTAAATCCGAGGCCAATTTACTAATTTGATATGTTGCAAAATTATAGTCATATTAAGACAAAACTTTCTCAACGTCCCTCTATTATTCTATTGATATTAACCTTACATTTAAACCTAAAAAATAGTTTATCACATTCGCAATAAACCATAATCATGTTTAGCAATAGTGTAACTTACAATTAGAAAAACAGCAGCTAAGAGAATCGCTTTTACTTTCACGTCTAAGTCCATCGGAAAAGAAACTCCAAAATTATCTGCATCAGTAAAGAATTCTTGGACAATATTGCTCCATTTTCTCGTAATTCTACCTATTTCGACAGTACCGTCAGCAGAAGTTACCTTGAAAAGATTATTTAAGAGATATTAAAGATTAATTAACCGGATCAATTCTAAGATCCGCAGGTAACAACAAACACAAACAATCATTAAGTTAAATGAGTTAGATGAACTTCACGGCGGATCTCTTTGTATGCCAGTCAGTCATCATCAACATAAAGCCTGGTAAAGGTGTGCGTTGACACAAGTTACCATATCACCTTAGTATAGCAAGATGAAATTGACAAGATGTATAGAAAAAGAGAAATAATAAAGTTGCAATGAGGATGAACATGATGAAGCATTGAGAATAGAGTTTAGAAAAGTAGAATGGAGAGGCATTTTTGGAGAAATACTGAGAAGAGAAAATGCGTCTATTCTATTGTGAACAATTCTGAGCCGTATCACTCCAACCACAGATCACGGCTATCACGAAGACCTCAATCAAGTAGTCAACGTCAACAATCATTGAAGTACACAAGAAATGAACGAAATAAGTTTGAAAAGTAGTGACAATAAAATAAAAGTTCGTGAAGAATCCACAATAATGATAATAATGAAACAAATTTGTATTTCAACTGTTCATCGGTGATTCTTCTTGATGCATGGAGATGAGGCAGGAAAACAAAATCTATGGTGATTTCACAGACAGGAAAATAGAAAACTTTTGCAAATATCTGGCAGCTAACAAAAGACATTGAAACAGACTATATATTCCGTAAAGACTGATTTCAATGTACAACAAATAAAACCGAGTTACAGATTCTTATCACTTCACAACAGATCTTTGTACACTAAGCAAATTTTTTAACTAAGCTTAATTTCTTTCCTAAAACGTTAAACAACTAACCTTTTGATAAGCAGATACTAGAATCACACAAACAAAAAATTCCAATAAATATGACAGGTACACTATGGACGATGTACGTAATCCGAAAGAAAAAGGATACAAAAAAACCAGACGAAGTAGATTATCATTGATTGAAATCATGAGTCAATTGAAGCTAGAACACTATGGAAACCCTGGGAGCACTGGACGGCCGTTTCCTCCTAGAATGATAGGTCTTGTGTTCGAATTTCGCGGGGTGTGGGATCGTAGATGCGCACTGCTGGGGAGTCCCATACTAGGACGAAACGGCCAGCCAGTGCTTCCAGGTTTTCCATGGTGGTCTACCCTCAATTGACTCATGATTTCAATCAGTGAAATTTCTAAAATCCCCAAAAAACCCCTTCTGATAAAGTGGATTACCATTAATTTCTAGTAGCACAATGAACAAGATTATACAAAGTGACAAGTAAAGTTCATTTTGACAACATTTATCGTCAACAGAAACAATAATTAAAATGTCAATAAGAAAGTATACCTTAAATATTATATCCGATCCTAAACATTCACAAAAACAACATGATGGACCATGTATTTGCAGAACTGTACTCTGGTTACTATCCAAAATGTAGTAATCAAGATTACAACCACTAAATACTCGTTTCACGTAGCCAATACAATTTCCAGCTGGAGACTGAACTTCAAGTTCCTCTTGACAGCATTCTAAACACCTAGACCAAATCAATTAACACATCAATTAACTTTTACAAAACGAGACAATCTGATCTCAGAAATTACATTAGGAAGTCATGTTACGGTAGCAAACATAATCAATCCCTGATAAAAGTAGTTTCACTAATAATGGATTTGTTCGTAGTCAACAATAATCTAAACCATATTTTTACATCACAAACTAAACTGTGTACTTACAGTTAGTTAAGCAGTGGTTGGTGACACTACAGTACTCGACAGAATCGAAAGAAACCAAATCAATAGACGAATTCGAAAAGGAGAATGACTGTTTTCCCCGTACTAATGGTTACAGGATGGAGATAACTAACCCATAGAAGAATACACCAAATGTAAACTGAAACCAGCGAGGGATTACCAGCACCACCACATTCTCAATAATATACATCATTTCCTTAGCCATCTTTTCACCAATCTACTGTTATTTCTTAACAGCCTTCAAACTGGGCAAGGTGACAATCTCTTACATTGATGCACAGTTCTAACTTGAACTAAAGCACGAATGGAAAAGCCTTGATGATGTAGTCATAACACGCCATCACATGAACTAATGACCACACTAAACCTCATTCAAAAATGTTGGTTTCATAAGTTGAATCCATGACCAGGGTGAAAATGGAACACAGCGTTTAAGATAGTATGTGTTAATCTTCAAGTCTTATATCATTAGCTTACCTATAATAATATAGCATTGATTAATCTTGAATTCTGTACAAAGTGAACACAAATTGAATACCTCATTGTCTTTGAGTTTGTATGAATCTGTCGTATTTTCTGTTTTTTGTTGACAGTTAAACATTATTTTCCTCACATAATATTCTAAATGAACAGTTCTTCATTTAGAATTGATCAAAACACTGTCCAAAAAGTACACCTATGATTGATGGGAATGATTAATAAATTTTACGTTATTGGTGCAGTATACTTCAAAGATAATGGCCAATATTCACAAACTTCCTCTTTTACTCAACTAACCTCGTGTAGGAAAACAAAAATCAAGGGCTAATTACTTCATTACTTATATATATATATATATATATATATATATATATATATATATATATATATATATATATATATAGAAGCTCGGGAGTGTAAAATACTTAACTTCTATAACTGCCCATAAATTAATGTAAGGACTTTCAAATGACTTTGGAATAAGCTTATTTGTATAGCAAATTCAGAAGTGAAAATATATCAATACTAGTTCGCTAATCAGAGAAAATTTAAGTTTCTTTTGCATACCTAAAGCCTCAATTGTTGTTTCGCGTGTAACATTTTTCTGTTTACCAGTGGAAACTAATCCATCCTCATGTTTTCACGGTTGTATTCTCAAGACTGAAACATTCATGGCTCTGACCAAAAGCTCTAATATATTTCTCGAAAAAATAAGAATATCTAGCAAGCTTGTACTAGTATAACGAGATCAAGCCCCATTACTTATTTAGGTTTACAGCCGGAGATGTAAGCTAATGTAATAATCTAGACGTATAAAAGATGTATGTAAAATGTAAGTATTAAGATAGAAATTTAATTTTTACTAAACTAATTGTAAATGAAAAAATATGATGCAAAGACAAGTTGGAAGGTTAGTGTACACATGAAAAGATATCAAGCACATGACTTAAAACATTTAAGAACAGAATTAGAATAACTCAATAAGAAAATATGTAGCAAAAATTAAGATATGTTCGTCATGTGTACAAAATCTGTGGTCACAAAAAAATTTACTGAGATAATTGGGAGTAGATTGGTTACTTTCACAAATGCATACCGAACCGAATAAACTGACATTCGACTAACGTCAAACCCTTTCGATAAACCACTGATATAATGGGGACAAGAATAACAGAGATTAAGAATAATCAAAATCAGTTAGCAATAAAGTATTTTGTCCAGGCAGGTTTGTAAGTGTTCAGGATATTATTATACATACTCCACCATTAAATAAGCGTCTCAATGTGAGTTGAAATGAATACAAGAAGGAATGAACAAATGCAATTTAGTGTGAAATGGCTTCAAAACAGCTGGGACAAAAACTACTTATGTCAAACAACTACCTTTTTTTAATAGATAAACATTTGATAGAAATTAGTCATAAGATCAACTTGAAAAGTTTTAAATCTTTTTCTACAGATGTTACTATGAGTGTAAATGTAAGTCTGTTGATATTTTCGTAATTTTTGTTTTCAGATCCTCTTTGAAGTATTTAAAAATAATTTGTTCTTACGTTAAAATTTCCTCGGTAATTAATAATGAATCTCAATCTCAAGGGTGATGTTATGACGTACGTACTTCTTTAGCATTATTATAAGATTTTTGTAATTCTCATAACACATCATTGATTTACATAAATTATTTAGTCATAAATTAAAGTCTTAACCATGTGTTGTGGATGCGGAGGAATAGACCAATAATTATCATGTTAAGTCCAATGGTATCCTTGGACTTTAGATGGACATTTCCTATTGGTCGATATCTGTTCACTTGTTGAATATTGTACAAAATGTTGTTTTCTATTTTTATGGTACGATGTGGTATGCTTGGTTGGTATATAAACAAAGTATGTTTGAAATATAATGATTCATATCTCAGAGGTTGTGACTTGTGTTCTGGATTCAACTAACTGGGCTAGACAGGGAAGTGGGACCAATCGAGACTCTAGGCCGTCCGTACGTGTTTACGTGTCACTGTAATCGGTCGATAAGTACGCTGCTCTCTAATTTTCCAGTCAAGGACACAACAATTAGCACAGGGTAAAATTCGACAGCAAACTTAAAGCCATAACACCATGTAAATTTGATCAGCTTGTGAAAAAGAAATTACGCAAATAAATAATCAATTTTTTTAAAGTAGAACTTCACTATTTTCATTACAATAAGTAAAATCGTGGAAGAAAACACTTGTATTCCGAGTAAAACAGTAAAGGTGATATCATAAAAGAAAAAAACTTATTATACTTACGAACAACAAGGGTAACAATCACATCGAAAAGGTCGAATTGCACGGATAACTTCAGAGTTATTATTGTTTAAAATATGTAATACGAAAGGTCTTGATGCTCCACAGAATGCACGTGAACAAAAGTCAGATTCTACGTAAAATAGAAGGATTACAAAACCCAAACTAATTAGTACCGTTAAAATTTATGAACGAATAAATATACCTGTTTTGCATCACTCATTAATCAAGATAATAAAAATATTGTTCAGACAATTTGAAAACAATGGAAGCTAAACACATCACTTAGTGGGAATACACTATTCAGTACTACGTATGTATCATTACCAAGGTTTGATTTGATAATTTCGAATAAATTGAGCATTTAGTAGATTGTTTTAAATAAATAATATATTTGTAATATCCCAATGAGTAAAAAATTAGATTTTCTGACCAATTTTCTACTCATTGGGATAATACAAATATATTACTTTTTTATATTCAGTACTACGTTGTATGGTTCTCAGTACTAACCGAATCGAATACTCTGCAACCTAGGTTTTGTATTTTAACTAATGAAAAAAAACTTAGAAAAATTACACTTGATACTTTACATTGATCATTTACCGTTCAGTAAATAACACATGGTCTAGCCCATACTCACTGGTTGCAAAGTATGCTAGCTAAGGGTCAAAACGCTTAGAGGTAACGTCTTCAACGTCAGCACAACAAGGCTAAGGTTCGAAAATTCGCAGATATAACTGGCTGGTAACTGCTAATTAACACCCCCGCCCGTTTCTCTACTTTCAAAAACTTAGCTCTAACTAAAATGTCGATATCATTAGTACACTGTATTAACAAAATAACACAATCTAAATTTTTAAAAATCAACAGTAATAATCAAATACACTAGAGAAGACTAGTCATAAAATATTTAAAAAGTGCAGAACGGTGTTGTTATTTTTAAGGTTTCTTATAACACTCATACATTTAGCATAGTAAAGAGAGTTTTGATATTAAACCGTTAATTAAGAAAAAGAGAATTCAGCGAAGAAAATTTCCTTTTCGACGAAATCATTTACTTAAGCTGTACATTCGTATATAGTTATATGGAAAATGTATGTCTATAGAACGATAGAATGGATTGTATCAACAAAAATGGATTCGACAATAAATAACAAATGAGGTTAACGTACTAATCAAGGGGTAAGGAAGAACAAAATTTAAGGGTCAGATAATAGTCCAATTGACAGATATGAAGAAAAACGACGAAACAACAAAGGTCATAACATTATCAGAATGGGTTTTGTGGAGATTTTAGAAATTTCACAGATTGAAATCATGAGTCAGTTGAAGCTAGACCACCATTGAAAACCTGGAAGCACTGGACGGCCGTTTCGTCCTAGTATGGGACTCCTCAGCAGTGCGCATCCGCGATCCCGCACCACGCGGGGCTCGAACCCAGGACCTACTGGCTTCGCGCGCGAGCACTTAACCATTAGACCACTGAGCCGGCATCCAACGGTGTTAATATCTAACTTCAACCAATCCACGAAGTTGACTTCAGGAAAAACTCCCGAAGTTCTAGTGAGAAGCCGTTACCAGTGGAGTTCAACCAGGTCTGTTGTGAGATAGGAACTCACTGAAGACAATGGTGTACGGTGGCGCAACTTCGTGGATTGGTTGAAGTTAGACATTAACACCGTTGGATGCCGGCTCAGTGGTCTAATGGTTAAGTGCTCGCGCGCGAAGCCAGTAGGTCCTGGGTTCGAGCCCCGCGTGGTGCGGGATCGTGGATGCGCACTGCTGAGGAGTCCCATACTAGGACGAAACGGCCGTCCAGTGCTTCCAGGTTTTCAATGGTGGTCTAGCTTCAACTGACTCATGATGTCAATCTGTGAAAGGTCATAACAATAGACTGAATAATAATCAAGAAAACTTGTAAAAGGTCATAATAATAAATGATTAGAGTTTAAAGTGCTAAGTAGTAATTTAAAAATATCGATAATAATAAAAGTGCAGAAAAAAACACAAAAACACCTAGAAACATACCCATTAAGGGAATTAGGGCCAGGGAAGGATGAGAGGTTGGACAAATCGTATCTGCACGCAAAATTCAGGCTTTAGTCTGTGGATTGCCAATGCCTCTGGGGTGCATAAAATATTGATTCGAACCCCCTTCGATCCAGTTCCTTTGACTCTGTAAACTATCTTAAACGACGAGTCTTTTGGAGCGATATGTCCACAGTTGATTAAGTGCCCCTGTATCGAACTAGTGATTGCTTTTCGTTCCCCTTTCAAGAGCCAGGCCGGATAATGTTCCGAGATGCGTTTAGATAATGATCGCTTTGTGCGGCCTATGTAACATGCCCCATATGAGCAAGTAAATTTACAGATACACATTGAAGTGGCCCAAAGCGAAAGTTTGTCTTTAACACATCCCAGAATGTTAGGTCGGCTAGAGAAGATGATTCGAAGCTTAGCTGCGTGGAATGTTTTATTCAATGATTTCGAAATTCGTTTATTTAGGATTTCAGCAGCCGTATCTCCCTTAAATTCCATATTCATAAATAAAGTTTTTTTCTCTACTGTCAATGCTTTGTCATGAGGTCTAGGTACCAAGTTTCTATCGATGAATCTCGGTGGATAACCATTTTTGATGAGGGTTTGTCGAAGATAAAATAGTTCCCCATCTATTGTGTCATTGGAACAAATTCGCCTGATCCTTGAGGATAAAAAATGAATTAAGTTCTTTTTTCTAATTAATGGAACCCAACTGTGGAAGTTCGTGTATTGTCCCTTCCCAGTGGGTTTTCTGTATATCGATCTCTGTAATAGACTGTCAGGCATTCTTTTTTAAATGGATATCGAGAAAATGAAATTCGTGGTTTGTCTCTGCTTCTAAGGTGAATTGGATTGATGGATGGCAGTTATTGAAAATATTCAAAATATCATTGAGGTCACTAACTTCTTCGCAAATAATGAAAGTGTCATCCATATATCTTTTATATAAATGAAATCTTTCAATTATTGGTCGAAGAACCGAATTTTCTAGGTTCGCCATGAAACAATCAGCCAGGAGAGAACCCAATGGAGAGCCCATTGCAACTCCATCTATTTGTTTACAGAATATTTTATGCACCGCAGAGGCATTGGCAATCCACAAACTAAAGCCTGAATTTTGCGTGCAGATACGATTTGTCCAACCTCTCATCCTTCCCTGGCCCTAATTCCCTTAATGGGTATGTTTCTAGGTGTTTTTGTGTTTTTTTCTGCACTTTTGTTATTATCGATATTTTTAAATTACTACTTTGCACTTTAAACTCTAATCATTTATTATTATGACCTTTTACAAGTTTTCTTGATTATTATTCAGTCTATTATTATGACCTTTGTTGTTTTGTCGTTTTTCTTCATATCTGTCAATTGGACTATTATCTGACCCTTAAATTTTGTTCTTCCTTACCCCTTGATTAGTACGTTAACCTCATTTGTTATTTATTGTCGAATCCATTTTTGTTGATACAATCCATTCTATCGTTCTATAGACATACATTTTCCATATAACTATATACGAATGTACAGCTTAAGTAAATGATTTCGTCGAAAAGAAAATTTTCTTCGCTGAATTCTCTTTTTCCTATACAATGACACTATGAGTTATTTTAATAAACCGTTATTTAGATAACAAACAACTTGATTTGATGTTTTGTAAGATTATCGCGGGGGTTATTATTTTGTTGTTAATGGTCCTATCGTCTTGCTAACTTATAACATATTCTCATTTTGAAACAAACAAGCACCGTTTCTTAGCAATATATTTGAAATAAAATTCCAGTGTTAAATTTTACAGTAAATCTTAAAAAACTTATATAACTTACCTTCGTAACATCGATATACACTTTGTCCCAATGTGTTGTAGCAGGTATAGCGATTTTGCACTTCATAAGGCACGAATGCTGTATGCAGTTGTATGGGAAAAAACATGTCATGGTAAGCGAATTCAAACAACTTCCTTGCGGAAAATGCAAAGTACTATCAATATAAGCTAATTAGGTCTAATAATCTTTAAGAATGGAAGCCGCACTGAACACGTTATTGGTAAGCTTTATCATAGGACTTATCAGTACCTTTATTTAATATCAAGCACGCAAATATAATTCAAAATTATTTTTGTTTACATTGTCAAACCTATCACGTTGTGTCTACTCTCTTGACGAGCGACTTTCAATTTAGAACTTCATTAATATATCTCAGTAATGTTGTTAAAAAACTCATACTGAAAAAATTAGCTATGTCAAATCTAAGCAATAGATATGTTGAAAACATCAACTTTAAACTGATTCAAAATTAAACCAACTTCATAGCCTAATACAAGCTGATAATAGATAAACTATTTACCAAAGTTTGTTTGTCTGATTATTTGCTATGAATAAATCACTGAATTATTTTACCAGCTAAGCTTAGCTGGTCACTACTTTTTCTGAGGTAACGTTAACAAATACAAACAATTATCTGCTAATGTCTGTTTTCTACTCCTTACGTCTTTTACCAGAAAGTTCTCATGAAGAGTTGATAAGAACTACCTAAAACTAATTTTCGCAGATTCATGAAACTCATTGGAACAGCAGCGATAAGTGAAGACTTTAAGATATTTTGTTTAAAGACGCTTACTTGATGAGATACCAGGTATCAAACAGATTTTGCTCCAATGTTAAGATAAGATGAATAAGAACATACTTGACGATTTCATTAGCAAGTCTAGCTAATAAAAAATCTCCTAGTAAAATATTTGTCAAGTACATTGACATGCACACAGATTCAGTTAAAACATTTAGGAAGGTAACTGATCCTTTAGAGAATCACTGCAACGGTTATGGATAACGACGGAACTATGTTACTAACAAAGTGAATGGCAGTAATTACCTTGTCAAGAACCTTTATTTACGACTGAAGATTATCAACCAGGACCGCAATAAAGCTTCTATTTGAGCTCAAAACATGTATACCCAATTCATCAACCACAAGAACACATACTTATTTACTCTTCTAACACATGAAGAGATTTCGGTTGGTTTCTCCTTTCAACCCATCGGACTGTGAGTAAACGATTTCTAACTTGAAAGTAAACTAAATGATCCTAACTTTATGAGGAAGTTTCCGAAGGCAATTTGTGCAAACGTTGATTACCGAAATAACTAAAGTTCCCAAAAATGATAAAAATAATTATTCGGAAGAGAATCATTATGACTAAAAAGATCATTTGATTAACACAACAAATAATGTGAATATTAGAAACATTACCACCCATCTCGAATCTAACTTGAAGATGGTTTAGGCTAATTTGTAAGTACTAAACGCAAACACTAACTAAGCAAACATAAGTCCATAACAATGTGGAAAGGTTGGTGGAAGGAAGATATGCAGAAACCAGTAAAAGGATGAAACATGTAAATTAATAGCAGGTGGCTTGATGGCTAATTAGAATATGTAGAAAATTGATGAAAAATCTACGATAACATTGCCCAGAATCACAGTGAAAGCTCCGCAATTAAACCTTTTAGCTCAAAGGACTCAAAAGAGAAATAATTCGAAACCGTGTATCCTATAAAGAGATGTTTTCGTAGAGTCAGAGCGATTGGTACTGATAGTTTACCCAACCAGGATGAATAGAAATTAAAGAAATAACGCTCTCACTCTCAACAACAGGTTTCAAGCCTTGCAAGATCTACTCACTCTACTCACAGAAGAGGAAGCTACTGTGGACAACAACTGGAAAGGGATTAAAACAGCACTAACTTCAGCATGCCAGGAGGTGCTGAGCTGCAAGGAGCGCCATCACAAGGAATGGATCTCTATCAAAACTCTGAGTAGGATAAAGGAAGAACAAGAAGTCGACAAGTAGCAGTGGAACAAGAGTAGGTAAAACCAAGCTACAGGTCAAATACACAAAAACAAACAAAAGAGTAAAGGGGAGCATTAGGACCAGCAAGTGGAAATACGTGGAAGATCTTGCACTGACAGAGGAAAAAGTTGAAAGAAAAAGAAATATGAGACAAAAAATCTTTTAGACAGGTTGATGGCTTTTATAACGAAGTTGGGCAATCAAGCACTGACAAAGCTTCATAAAACTTGAGATGGGAGTAAGAGGAATCCCAAATAACAGACTTTTAAATGAAGCATCAAAAAAGTTTATGGAACCTCCTCTAAACGCTTTCAATCAAACGTCCGGAATTTTGCTGTCAAAAAGGTAAAGTAATAGCAGTCAGTGGTGCATAAGACGTCCAAGGTTACAGTTGAAGATGAGATACAAATACATACTTTCATATTTTATTCAATTTAGAAACTAATGAACAAATTTGTATGAGGAAAAATCAACATTATTACCAAGTGAAACTGATAACCTGTCAAATTTTGCTTAAGGATTACATATCTATTTGTTGCCTTTTCGTACCAATGTTTGTGTTTAAATAAGAAAAAATAAGGATAACAAGTTTTAAAAAAACTTGTAGAAACTGTACAACAAAATTACTTAAGTGTGTTTACAGATTGTCCATCTTTACTTGATAAACAAGACTGTCTCAAACTAGTGACCAAATACCAGATGCATACGTTCCTTACTGTAGATTAAAATAAACTCGTCTAATAATCCTTACTGACAGATTCACATAGCAAAATTACTACCGAAAAATCGACAATACTGTGATTATTAACCTGCATAAGCGAGATAATTAAAAGTAACTATTAAGCTGTTTTATGAGCAGTTTCAGATATATGCTTAAGTTTTTTATCAACAGTCCATATAAAGCACCAAGATTACCAGTACTATTTGTAAGCAGAACCATATTTTGAGGTGATGTTATATGTAAAAACCTATTAACTCTTTAAATAAACTCACTGTAATTGTTAAGCTATATTGCTAATGCAGATGTCTAATCAGGTATAAATTACTAGCAGATACTTTACGATTCCTGAAGTTTTTTTATCATTGATCAGTTAATAAACAACGGAATATTTTCTTACATTTTATAATGACGGCGGTTAACTATTTACTGACACTCGTAAAATTCATATAAGTAAAATTAGGGTTATAAAACTTAATCCCCACTTGAGCACTGATTTTCACAACCACAGAAACAATTGTTGCTGAGGTACAGAAAACTAAAAATAAGTGATACTAAAACACTCTAGCTCATGATTATAATTAAGAGTATTGGTAACTAACGTGGTTGCTACTAGTTCTCACATAAATGTTAATACCTATACACATTTATTTAAGTCTAATGTTATTTTCCACGAAATCATCCCATGAATAATTATCTTTAGAATTAAAAAGAATACACTAAAAAGTGTATGTCTATGATTATGAAATAGACTGAAAAGTATTGTCTTCTCACTTTCGATAGCATCAATCACCTGCTTAATCAGCAATTGGTCAATTTGGGTCAAGTACTCAAGGCCCGGAGGACAATTGATCACAGCTGGTCTTTGCATCCACATAACTAAAATAAAAAAACCTTCAGTTATTTGTATCTATTAAATTATACGATATTATCACAGGTTCTTTGTAATTTTTTAAATGAAATAATAAGTCTAATGCTATTATATATTCACGAAACTACAAAGGATTCACTTGACAATATAGTGAATGACTGAAAACCAATGATAGACTGTGAATAGTGCTATCTATTTAAGTTACTGACAATGTGCTGAAGATAAACACAACTATAAAAAATTCTATGAGTTATCTAAACCTTGCAGACACAAGCGTTTTTGAGTAGAGTAATAAAAAAGGTGTTATATTCAAGGACCAAACTGTAAATGGAGTCAAAAAACAATTGTCTTGTGATATATATATATATATATATATATATATATATATATATATATATATATATATATATTGGTGTACTTGAGTCAAATCTGACAGAAAAACGAAAGACTTTATATCTATATTATTTTTCTGTGAGGTGAGGTAGGAAATCAATAATATAACATTTGAACGTATGGAATCACGATGAAATTTACACTACAGATCATTAAATGGTTTGTCAACAAAACCCAACCATTTTAACCGTCCCTTACACAATAGTTAGTAAAATTCCTTTTCCTGGGAAGTTCCCAGCTTTTACAGACTAATACATTGATGATAAAGCTATTAGATGACAGCTTTGGGTCTTCAAAACCCTGAACTTACCATGGTATAAAGTGACCCATGTAGCAGTTGTGAATATTGATGTAACCAGGAACTTGATGGAACTCAATAAACTAATACAAATTCCTTTATCAAACATTGGTATTTATTCTATATAGTAAACACCAGAACTACTGAGCTTCCCGAAACTAAAGTAGGTAGATCGGATTAAAAACTTGTAGATAATTGGAAATCAAGTCCATAGACCAATAAGTCACCTTAAGCCTAGGATCTAATACTTAAAGAGTACCTGTAATCTTCCACTAAAACCAAAACTAGGGCCATTCTTCAGTTTTGAGTCGTAGACTACCGACAATCGAATAGAGAATATAAAAAAACCTATGACCTTTACTGGTAACCCATCCATAATGATGTGGGGCCCAGTATTTAATATCTCGGAGGCGAGCTAGTACAGACTGATCGACTTATTTGCGCTCGCCTTTCGGTGTTGAGGTTCGGTTCCAGAATTTCATTATCGCCTAATATTGGCAGTCTAGATACTCAAATGCACTAGCTCTTTCCAGTTAAGCAATAATAAATAGATGATTGCGTTCACCCTAGAACACTGGGGTTTTTATTGTGATATAGGGTAAATGGTTTGTTGACTTTAATACTGAAGATTTTACGGTTTGAATCAAGAAAAATAGTTGAAAGATATGAGTCTCTGGTAAACAAACAAGTTTATTAGTCAATCAAGAAAGTAATATGAGTGGATAGATAATTAAATAAAGACAGCGAGCAAAGTTATGACAAGAGATGAGGCACGCGAAGTAGCATAATAATAATCATTACATATAAAGCGATAGTGAGTGGATCCCAAGATACATTTCACATATAAATAACAGGAGCCAAAACATCATTCTGTTATTTCAACCCCCATTTAAGACAAAACAGGGCAGGGTGTGACTACACACAAGATTTTTGAACCTTTTTTGAAGCTACATATCAAGAGGGCCACATGGATATGTAGCAAGATCAGCTCTAAGAGCTTCTGAAAAAAAACCTGTAACCGTACCGAAATAACAATAAACGAGCACAAAAGAATCAACCGGTTTATACAAGCTCGTAACGAGACTATTGAAACCCGGTAATTAATTGCTCATTAAAACTAGTGATATTAATTAGTGTTTTACCGTGAGAATATGTAAAGTCCGTATGGGATTCAGCGCTTCGACCGAGGATTCGTAAAGTTGCGGAATGCCTTTACAAACGGCCTAGACTTCATAAAAATAATCTTCAGTATCCAATATTTTCAGCAACTGGAAAGGATTGCCCATGATAGGGTTGAGTGAAGAATGCTGGTGAGCGGCTTACGCTCTTCCATTAAGATTAAAAAGCGTATGTAAGTGATTAAGTATCTAATATTCCCGTGCTCAGATAGTGACCGAGCTAATAGATAGCAGTTATTGTACTCACAAATACAACGTTCAGCAGCGGTGCTGACTATCAACAGCATAGGCCTTTACATCGCTATGACAATTAGCATGTACAGACTATCTCGCTCTTTACACCTCACGACCATCAGGCTTCCTCATCTGATGGCTGTGAACTTCAGGAACTGAGAGGACATGACTGAGGCGCTTCAGGCCTAGTAAGTCTCAAAAAATCATCTCTTCAGTCACATCAGGTGTGTAGGTCGATCCAGATCGGTAAGGCGGTAGTGAAAGGGCCTAACAAACACACTACTGAGTCTGCTGACCATGATCAACAACCTACGGTACAAAACACAGAGACCACGGTCATGCTAGTGAGGTACTCCATACAAGTCGCAAAAGCCCACAGGAGACGGTAGGCTAAGAATTGACTAACACGCTTTAAAAAACGATCTGCTTAAAACCGGAAAACCAATGGTGCTGTAGAGGAGTACCAGGTAGTGGGACAAACCATCAAGTGCCTCTACAGAGGCGTAGGAGAACTAGGGAGTAAACTAGGAGAAGTCGGAAACATGCGCATAGATCCGGAGATCATAACATTCATAACTGAGTGATAAACCAGAGACAAATTAATATTAAAATACATAAGCTTTAAAGCAGTTTTAAGTTGGTACGCTTTAATATGCACAAATTCTCAAGTAAACTCATAGAGACATTGTTTCCCAGCCACACGATCCTTGAAGTTGAATATATGATAACTGGTAAAACTTACGTTGGCCGTTGAACACCTAGGTAAGGCCGAAAATGGTTGACATGAAAGCACTCAATAGAGATGGCGCGGTCGGTAATGCAAGATTGATCATCTTGTGAAACCTCTTACCTTTCAAATTAAATACATCACTGTGTCACAACCGTGAATTTATTCTGTAATGGTATTTTGGAAAAAAAACATCATGGGCTATCACAATAGCTCGAGTCAGTACAGACGACTATGAAATTTCGACGTAAGATCTTATAGATTAGGTCGTTATATCACGGAAAGTTTCTGCTAATGGATTTCGTTTATTATTATAGTAGCATACATACGTTCACTAGTACCGGCCTAGGCTCAAGTAACGCAAACGTATCTAACAGTGTAATGTCAGACAAATATATAACACAAGATATAAACCTTAATCACATAACCTTACTACAGATATAAAGACTGCAGGAACACACCGAAGTCGACAGGATCATTGTTTTGTATAAACAACCTATAATAGCAGGGAGAATTACTTCCCTACACCAATGCCTGCTCTTTTCATGTATTCACATGTTAACCCTAAGGGCTTCCTGGAGGCTTGCATGTTTTTGTCCATAAACTAATTAGTTGCCCATCTATTCGTAAGGCGTATCGGCATCCTATGACCATCCTATGACACCACACACATCACTCGTTTTCCTTGTGCTATGCACGACGTAATCCTTTATAATAACCATCAAACAAACATCTTTCCTGAGTTCTCTTTTGATACCCAAAACGTCTCGCCTTACTATTTATGGTGATGCACACACTAAAACCTTAGAAATATATAATATTCTAATTATAGTATGAACTAGGAATTCCAGGACTAACGCAATTGAACTAAGAAGACACAGGCACAAACGAATGTATTGTATTTAGAATTCGAAATCAAGTATTCAACCAGTACCAAGGTATCATTGGTTCATTCAAACACCACATCCGCCACAGCTTAAATTGGAGTCTAAGTGTTTATAATCAATCGTACGTCTTCTTTTCAAATTCATCCTGAGTCTGTCTGACATTGTATTGGATAAGGATTCTGTATTATCTAGAATATGCTCATTAGCATTAGAATTAACAATCGAAATTGGAACCGACTCACCTGGTTCCTGAAATTGTATTTGATCTACATGTCGACTGTGTGTACTTAAGTCATCGATGTCTAGAATTCGCACCATCGATTTTCCGACATTCTTCAGAACAATACCCGTAGATGGTCGAAGATCATTTCCTCGATAGTATGTAACCTCTGCAGACTCCAGACATCTCATATTCGACCGAAGAATTCTTCCTTTCAATAGCTTCGCTGGAGTCTCCTTCGTCACCGAATGTTTAGCATTTCTATATTGCAATAGAAAGGTATCTACTCCCCTCTCCAGCTCCTTAAATGTTGAGGGGGCTATAGAATCAATAGCAGTCTTTAATGTCCTAACAAAATTCTCTGCCTGACCATTAGAACACGGATGTCTGGGAGCAGTAAATAGATGTTTGCACCCTATACCGTTCAACCAGGTAGTGACTGCATCTGCAGCAAAATGTGAGCCATTATCAGTCACCAACACCAAGGGAACACCTTCTCGACTAAACACCTTTCTTAATGCTTGTATTGTGAAATCAGAATTCGGTGAAATTGTGAAAAAAACTTCAGGCCACTTTGAAAAAGAATCAATGACTACTAGTGCGTAGTATTTACCAAGAAATGGTCCACAATAATCAGCATGAATCCTCTGCCAGGCCTCAGACGATACTGGCCATGGCACCCACTTCGAAGGATGGTTTTTCAACTGATGACATTTCTCACAACTGTTTGCCGTACGACATATATCTGCATTTATCTCTGGCCACCAGCATGTGAGCCTTGCCAAGGACTTCATTTTCTCAACACCTAAATGACCACTATGAAGATCTTCAAGAACAGATTTACGCAATGAAGGAGGAATGACAACACGATCGTTTAAACACAGAATACCATCAGGAGTAGTAGATAACTCATCCCGCTTTGAAAAATAGATAGGAAATCTCCGTTTCAAATTAGCATTCCAACCTTTCCTTATAGCACTGAGTATACATCCAAAATATCTACGAGTTTCTCTAATGAGATCTGAACGTCTCACTGGTAAAGGTTGCACTAACAAACAATCCGAAGTATTAATAGGTTTATCTTGTAATGACTGTCGAGAAATGTAATCAACATGTTGAATCTGTTTGGCACTTCTGTGCTGAACCGTATAGTCATATGCACTCAAAGCAATACTCCATCGCTGAACCATAGCTGCTGAGGAACGTGCTAAGGATTTTCCGGGATGATAAATAAACTTTAAAGCTTCATGATCAGTAACAATAGTGAATTTCTTTCCGAATAAATATTTATGAAGTCTTTTAACAGCCCAAAACACAGCTAATGCTTCTCGCTGAGTCTGTGAATAACCTTGTTCAGTAACAGTAAGTTTGCGTGAAACACAAATAACTGGTCTACCTTCCTGTTCCAAAACTGCACCAATTCCCACAGGTGATGCATCAGTAATAAGCACAGAATGTACATTAGGGGAGTACGTTCGAAGAACAGCATCACTTTGAAGAAACTTCAGCAGACTTCGTAAGCATAACTCTTGTTCCTCACTCCATTTGAATGGATTGGATGTTAAAATATTAAATAAACAATTTGCACGACAAGAAAAATTAGGAATAAAACGGGAATAGTATTGAAGAGCACCCACTAGTGAACGTAATTCTGTAAGATTTTTCGGAGACGGTGCATTAGTCAGTGGAGCTAGTCGTTTCATATCTGGTCTAAAACCGTTACCATCAACTAGGTATCCAAGGCATTCAAAACTAGATACACAAAATGAACACTTATTTGGATTCACTGTTATATTCTTCTCAATTAAACGTCGCAATAAAGCAATAAGTCTCTGGTCATGAACCACCTTATTAGAGCCATGAACAATGAGATCATCTTGATAAACTTCAACACCTTCAAGATCACTAACTACTGTATTCATAACTTCTTGAAATATGGCTGGAGAACAACTTAGACCAAATGGAAGGAAATTGTATTTGAACAGACCAAAAGGAGTGTTAATTATCGTCAAAATAGATGAAGATTCATCTAAAGGAATTTGAAGATAAGCATCTTTTAGGTTAACTTTCGAGAACACTTTAGAACCGTGAAGTCGATTTAGAATATCTTCAGCTTCTACCGTCGTGCACGTTTGCTTCAACAAACGGGAGTTCAGAGTTAATCTATAGTCACCGCAAATTCTAGGGGTTTTGCCGTCCGACTTCAGTGGCGTAACGATAGGAGTACCCCATGCTGAAGACTGGATTGGTTCAATTATGCCTTTCACACACAAATCGTTTAATGTCTTATGTACTGCTTCTCGAAGACCATAAGGAATTATTCGTCTTTTAAGAAAGACGGGATCACCCTGTACTTGAAGTTTTATAGGCTTAATTTTCATACCTCCACTGCATTTAGCACACATAGCTATCAAATCTTTAAGTAAAGTATCAGAATTTTCTTTAGAAACTAAGAAGGACAACTCCACCTTAAGCCTTTTCAAATTCTTTAAACCCAATATTGACAGTCCTGTTTCGCTAACTAAAAATTCACAAGGTATGTATGAAGAATTATCATCTCTGATTAGCAATTCACAACATCCTCGTATGGGCAGTCTGTGTGCAGTAATCCCCAGTATTGATACTTCAGTGGGTCGTACAACAACGTTAGGATCTAAAGCTTTCAAGTTCTTGAATGAAATAATGGACTCTATACTGCCTGTGTCCAGAATAAAGTCATGAAATGAACCAAGCGATGTATATAATCGCTTCTGAATATGAGCATTACCTTTCGAAATAGTGGACAAAGACAAATGATCACTAGAAACATCCGAATTATTGAAATTTAAATTACAAGATTTAGTACAGCTCGAAGCAAAATGGACAGTAGCTTTGCATACTGACTGAATGTGTCCTACCTTACCACATTTAAAACATTTAGCATTACGAAATACACATGAATTGCGAGCATGAAACTTTCCACATGATAAACATTTACCAAACTTCATCTCACCTTTGTGATTTGCTTTGTAATTCCTCGTTGAAACACCTTTCATATTTACACGAGAATAGGAATCACTGTTAAATGAACGCAAGTTTGATTGACCCTGAGATTGTAGTTCATCACGACGACTAAGCAAAGTATTAGAAATATTCATCGACTGGATATCAAGTTCATTGACTGCTTCGTAGTTAATACATGCAGTTCTAGCATCTTGAAAGGAACAGTTTGGCATTCTTAACAGCTCTCTTTCCAAACTCGGTATGTTAATTCCTGCAATTAATCGATCTCTCAATTGCACATGAAGTTGATCACCGAAATTACACTTGGCAGCTTGTTTCTGTAATTCAAGGATGAATTCCCGAACCTTTTGGTCATTTTGACGAACCATCTTATGAAACTTCGCCCTTTCACGGCATTCAAAACTGGTGCATTTTACATGACTTAACAATAGCTCTTTAAGAGTTGCATAAGGCAGTGAGATAGGTTTTTCTGGATATGCCAAAGTTTTTAATAAGCTGTACACTTCTCTCCCAATGAATGTCAGAAAATGTGCCACAATTTTCTCACCTTTAACATCTTTCTTGGTCATGCTCCAAATTTCGAACCTTTCCAAATAATCCTCAATAGCTTCAGGAGTTAAATGAATATCCAACTTTTCCATTGCAGGTTCCATCGCGACGCCAATATAATATTCTAATTATAGTATGAACTAGGAATTCCAGGACTAACGCAATTGAACTAAGAAGACACAGGCACAAACGAATGTATTGTATTTAGAATTCGAAATCAAGTATTCAACCAGTACCAAGGTATCATTGGTTCATTCAAACACCACAAAATAACTCGCACCATTACTCAATAAATCTTAATGAAGAGGCTACCTGAGTGGAAGAATGGTAACACTCAAAAACTGTCTGTAAAACCGTTTCCAGCGTAGATAATGTGAGTCTATTCCTACCTATTCCCCTCCAGTTTCAATTTTTACCATTTTATTGCTGTCCGAACATTAACTTCTAGTGGGTGATATTTTAATAAGTCGACTCGAGAGATATGTCAAAAGGACATTCACGCCGCCAAGTTACATGTAATCTTCCCGACCAAACCAGTAACTTCACAAGAAATAAAAGATAATTTGTCGATGATGGAAATTTCCCCCCCCTATGGATTTTATCCATATGATTTATTTTATTTCTTTCTTGTTGATTATAACTTGATACTCTAGTATAAATCGTTCTGATCTTTGTTAAATGACATTTTCAGTTGAAAAATCACACAATTTTGAAGCATTTATGTCATAAGGGACGCAAAAAACATCAATTTTACGCTTGACATAGTCAAATTCAATAATACGTGCATGATTCTGAACTTTGTAAAATATCACAATAATTATAAATTAATAACTGTAGAGTCTGATGACAAAATTAGTCCGAACAAATGATCGCTCAGATATTTTTTGGCTTTGACAAACAGATTACTTAATTCTTTTACCTATTGGTTTG